TAGGCTCAAGCTGATAATAAGCTACGACCACTAGCAGAAATAATTAAACACGCATTTCATTTACATTAATTACACCTTACACGAGCTAAATATGCAAATGAATTAGGCTAACTTTTAAGTAAGATAAATGAACGCGGCTATACGACAAAGAGAGTGCTATAGGAATAAGAAGCAGTTTTTTTTTAACGGATAAATTTCTAGACCGAGGAAATAAGATCTCGATGATGGATGAGAGATCTTTTACATAAATAATAGTAACGTTGAAGAAAATATGGTGGAATCGTGACCGGGACATACGGCTTTATAATCGTAAACATGAAATGACAGTATAGGCGACATGACTGGTATAAAATACAGACAAATTTCAAGTTAAATACACAGATATTACCCTTTAACCAGTCTGGTTCGGTTTATTGGTGGGTAATATCTAGTTAATTGCATGCGAGAGTGGTCTATAAATAGATTTTAGTAGGTATATTAGTTTCACAATACTGCCTGCTCTATTTTTGTAGCACTTCCCCCCCCCCCCCCCTTTATTTTATCCAACAAGTTACTTTCTTAATTGGACGATCTAATTGAAATAACATAAGCTGTCCATAAGACAGTGCTCTTGACTTAAGTCTCAGTGCTTTAAGTCTCAGTGCTTGACTTAAGGAAAGGGGCATAACTCTGTAAAAAGGTAGCTCAAGGTTTATGGGACCTGTGCCATGTGACAAGTAATCACAAAGAACAAGTGTGTGAAATTTCAACCCATTCCCTTCTATAAGTTTTGAGATACAAACTTGCACACAAAAACTTAATCAAAGTGTAATGGCGTTGGTTGTCTGGATAAATACAATAGCTCCCCCTTTCTGGAAATAAAAATGGATGACTGTGTCCAATAAAGATATTTATAGAGTTAACATGTATGTGGGCACGTGCATGCGTGTGTGTGTATGCAATTAAAAATGAGGGTCCCTTGGCATGTTAAGACACTAAATGAGTTAGTAACATTTAAAATGTTTTATTTTTAAGACTTTATCTCATGGTAAATGCATACCTTCACACAGCTGACTGAGTTATCACCTAATTAGATCATCAATAAATAATCTATTCACCAAATACACTCTCATTAAATGACCAGCTTATAATTTCATTATATGGTATACGGGGAAATGAGAAAATGTGTACAAATTAAATTATACACAACATAATATCTGTTCATAACAGCAAATCTACAAGGACAGTTTCTGTATAATTCAGCCATTTTAGAGGGTTCGTGTTTTTTTTTCTTTTGAACATTACAGGTTAGTGGGAAAGGGGAGGGCTATAGTTCTTCAAAATGTAGCATTGCTTTGGGCCCTAAATGTTCAAAATCTATATCAAAAGTTAACAATAATTTCGACTATAATTTACTTTCAATGAAGAAGTTTTACATCACAGGTATTTGCTTGAACTCTAGAATTTCTAAAATTTGTTTTGTTTTTTTGGTTTTTTTTGGATACATTTACAAAGAAAATAAACAAAACTACTTTTACTACAGATTTTTCTTTCAAAACACAAACTTTTTGGTCAATAAAACAGATTACGGCCAAATATAAACTTTTTTTCAATAGAGATAAATAAAGTAAAACTAGGACAAATTAAAAATCAACTTAATATTAGATTACGGCCAAATATAAAATTTAGGGATAACTGAATTAAAGCAACTAATTTAAAACCACTTAAATGAAACAAATTGAGAAAAAGAGAGACGAATATCAACTTAGAAAAAAATCACATTTATATATCTATAACATGTTTACGAGAAATAAGAAAATTAATTCAGAATACGTGTCCCGAGAATATTGATTTGTCCACGCTGAAGTTCTGGACAATCCCTTCAGATTAAGTTTCTGCCATTTCCTTCACGGAAATAAATCGTAGTTAATGGGCAGACTTTTTTTTTCATTGACACCCAGACAAAATTAGCCTGTCATATGAATTTGCTAACAAGGGTCATGAATATATCACCTTTTTGTTATAAATTAATAAAAAAAAAATACAAAGGGAGGTTAGTAATATGAAATACCAGTGGGGTATTTTTTTGTTTCTGAAATTTAAATTAATAAATAAAACATTAAAAAGACTGAAAAATCACACAATTTCACACTATTTAATGAAGTTTCAGCTGAATAATTGTACTCAAAGGGAAGCAACTCAGATTTTCTCTCAGCACTAAACACTTCAGAGTTATCTTCACATGTCATAATATAATATTTAGTCAATATGTAAGTTTATACTGTTTCTGGTCATAAAGAGGTTAATATCTTCATTAGGTGGTCAAATAGGTCAACAGTTTATGGATGATTCATACATGTCAACTTTTTCTGATGATCATGAGGGAGATTATTCTTCAATTTTAAAATTTGCAAATAACAAAAAAGGAAGTTCTGACATCATAAATAGGGAGATTTCTTTAATTTCTGGAAAAAAAAACCTTATTTTAAGAAAAATCTTTGAAAATATGGCTGCAGAAAGAGTCTCCCGCTTAAAGTGGGAGAGTTCAGATGTATGATGATTTACCACATTATTTTTGTTTCGCTATTCTTACTCACAATGTCTGGTATATGCTTACATATAGATATAATACAGACATTTCAGTCTAAATTACTTTTGATTTACACAGATCTATCACAAGTAAAAGCAATGCAATCATTCTAAAGAAAGTCATAATTGATTTACTGAATGTTTCCTGTCAAATTTGGACGTTTTCAAAATAAACCAAGATCAAAATTAGATTCTCTTTGATCCAACGCAAACAGTTATTTCAATGAAACATCTTTGTCTAGACGGAGAGAAATGCTAGTGCTCTTCATGTACAAAAGATAGAGGGAAATATGGTGGTTAGAAAATTTAACAAGAGCTATTTCTCAAGTGCTGAATAGTAAACTGCACACTTTCTAAATATAGAGATATTTTCAATTAAAGGTCACTTTGACCTTGACCTTTGACCTTTTGAACTAAAATGGATGTGGCAGCCAGATTATCAAGTTTAAATTATTATCATAGCAGAATATATTAACCATAAACAAAATCTTTATGAAAACAGTGAAAAATTACATTGTGACCTTCACTTTGACCTTTTGACCCAAAATAAGTATTGCTGGAAGGATATATCTACAGATGCATTTACATACAAAGTTATAACTTGTTAAGCAAATGCACTTCGATGTAATAGCCAGTTTTATCTTTTGTTATTACAGGCCTCACTGACCTTGACCTTTGACTCTGACATGTAAATACAGTCAAACGTGTATTAAGCGACCGGGCAAAGGAAACACCAAAAACGGTCGCTTAATGAAACGGTCTCTTAAGACAGTCAGCATGATATAAAAGTCAAAATTTATTAATGACATCTTTTTTATTCGATGGGATTGTTTTTCAACTTCATTTTTATATAAATGTTGAATAATAAGTACGCTCCGATAATCTAAACGGATGCAAATGTAAAAATAACGTTCTGATATTTATTGACAAAACAGTTTTGATCCATTACGTACATGTTTGACATTTTTTCCAGAATTTTTTAACTTCTCCGTTGTTTTTCCTTGTCTCCAACACGAAAACCCTATTAGTGAAGATGTTTTCTGTTGTGCATTTTTTCATTTGAAATTAACAAACTACATCTATTTGTTACGATTAATTTAATGGCTGATCAAGTTCAAGGTCAATTCAATGCAGTCTAAATGTCAACAAGCGAAGCGTATACACCATCTCAGTATGGGCGGAGCGTTGCATTGTTTATCCGATATTATTGGATAATACACGTCACGCGTATACTTAACTTCATTTGCATAGGCTAAAACGGTATGGGAAATAGTTTTTCACACGTTTATTGTTGTGTTTTGATTGCTGACACTTGTGACATAACGAGGTGACGTTCTCTAAAAACACAATTACTTGACAGGTAAAAGTGGTCGTTTAATGAAAAGATTGATGTCAATTAGGTGACTAATTAGCGGTCGCTGGTCACGTTGAGCAAAAATCGCTTAATACATTAAAGATATAGAGAGAAAATGATCGGGGGGAATTTAAAGTGGTCGTTTAAGACAAAAGTCGCTTAATACACGTGGTCGCATGGGCAAGTTAGACTGTAGATGTGGAAAGAAGAACTCATCAAGGTGCATCTACATACAAAATTTGTAATTCTTCGTCTTTTGAGCTTTTATTTTAAGGCATGTTTTGTGTTTTGTTATTTCAGATCCAAGTGACCACAACCTTTGATGTTTTGGCCTAAAAATCAGTGCAACTGATCAGGGTGCATCCACATAATAAAGTTTCTATATAAAAGCTTCTTCAGTGTTGAAGTTAATAACCATAAATGAAAACTTATCAACATTGATGGAACTAAATAGCTTATAGTGGAACTAAAAGCCAACTTAATTTACCATAGAGACAGAAGCTAATGTACAAGCTTAAAGTTTTGCAGCTTCAAAATAATGAGAAATGACGATGTGATTTTTAGATGTTATCACATTTGTCTCCAGCACTGACATACACAAATTACACAGGCAATACCTCGTACTAGGGGTGTCAAAGTTAGACACAAAGTTACCCTTTTAAACGGCGACCTAATATCTGTGTTAAACGTTAAACCAACCTTTACTTAGATTTTCAACATTAACTTTGTTTCTGTATGACAAGATATGACATTCTGTTCGTATTTTTTTGTACTCAAATGATTACAAATCCAAATATGGCAGAAGTATTTTCCATTAGGGTCATATCGTTCTCGATTAGATTCGGGAAAAAATACATTGTTGAGTACAACTAAAATACAAATAGATTGTCACATCTTGCTATAAAAACATAAGGTACATATATTATTTGGTATCAATTTAAAACTTTCTTGCCTCTATTTCAAATACTTACAAGGGTTACTAGTTATTGAATTTTCAAACCGGTTTTTAGCTAAAAACCGACCATACCCATTTAAATGGATAAACTTGACACCCCTACCTCATACTACACTGACCTACCTTTAAATAGTAAACTAGAAGTTCATTAAGCGATGGGTCAGCATTGAGGTTGACTAGGAAGTATCTACTGTGTTGAACTTTTATCCCCGACGTTTCCACGGATACACCCATCTCTTCTAATGCTTTATGTCTTTCCTATAAAAATACCATGATAATTTTTAGTTTTATGCTGTAATACATCTGTATCTCATCAATAAGTGGAACTCTAATTTAAAAACAAAAGTTATTCAGTGGAAAATCTATTTCAAAAACAAAATTTCTTGAGTGAAAACTCTAATTTAACAACAAAAGTTATTGAGAGAAAACTCTAATTTAAAAACAAAAGTTATCATATGGAAAATCTTATCTCAAAACGAAAGTTATCGAATGGTAACTCTAATTCAAAACAAAAGTTATTGAGTGATAACTCCAATTTAAAAACAAAAGTTATTGAATGATAACTCTATTTAAAAACAAAAGTTACTGAGTGGAAAATCTAATTTAAAAACGAAAGTAATTGAGTAAAAACTCTTATTCAAAAACAAAAGTTATTGGGTGAATACTAATTCAAATAAAATAATTATAACTAAGCGAACATACCACTTGTATTTTTTCAGTCTCTGCCAATTTTTCCTCCCAGGTTTTTCTCATTTCTTTCAACAATTTCTCAGATTCTTCTAACTTCTCCTTCAAATCAGGAGCTTTCATGCTCTGTTCATGTGAAAATAAAACACATCACGTAAAAATAAATTCATATTTAGCAAGTACATTAAAAACTTTGTATAAACTAACTTAATTGTAAGCACAGAAAATGTCTTCTTAAATACTTTACCATTCAGCTACGTAAGTGGTTGAGGGTGAGATGTCATTTAAAGATTTTTTTCTGCTTTTAGCTCAAAATAAGGAATTTTTATAGAGAACATACAATCATTTTTGTATAGTTTTATCACTACTGGCCTAGCAGTTTCGGAAGAGATTTTGTTGAAGTCAAAATGTTGACAGACACTGGACATTTAGGTATCGCAATAGCTCACCTTGAGCACTTTGTTCTCTGGTAAGCACAACCATTGAGAGAAAAAAATTAATCCTGATACATCATGTCCTATTCTGAATAATTAGAATAATTATAAACCTGTGCTTCTTTAAGCTCCTTCTGTAAATGATCAACTTCCTCTCTTAGTTCACGTATAATTCTCGCATTTGGATCTTCATTCACGACCGCGTGGTTAACAATTCTCTTTGCTCTGTCGGCATATCTCAGCGTGGACAATGTTTCCTCGTAGTTATCAGCAGCCGGACTTATCGTTGCCACCATGACAGTTCGACTGTTACCTCCTAAATTATCCTGTAAATTAATCAAAACTTTTCATGTTTAAGAACAATAACTTCTTTTTTTTGTTTTTCTTTTGTTTGTTTTTTGGTTTTACTTCATACAAACACAGAACCTGTCATGTTTAAGAAAAATAATGTGAATTTCCTTTTTTTTTGTTGGGCTTTATGTCACACTAACACAGTATAGGTCATAACTTTCCAGCTTTACTGGTGGAGGAAGAGCTCAGGTGCCCCTCTGTACATTATTTCTGGCAAGGACGGGCACCTGAGTAGAACCGCAACTATTCCTTCAGCTAGCTGGATATCTTTCTTAAATAAAAGAACAATAAGTTCCCATCAGAATTCAAACCCACCAGGGTGAGGGGCAAGTGGTTTGAAGTTGAGGACCTTAACCACTCAGTCACAGATGCCCCTATTGAAATATAGTCTTTAGAGTCATAAGTATTGTAGTAGAAATATGGTGATAATTTAAATAATTTAAATACTGCAAAATCAGTCATTCATTGCATTTAACATGTAAATTATTACTTGAATTGTGGAAATTTTTACTTTTCTTAATGACTTTGTACATTTTATTTTAGGTTGTTTTTCTTGAATTTTTTTTTGCATCATCTGGAGGCATGCAACTTTAAGTATTCCAATGCAATCCATGAAATATGTACTTCAATAAGGAATACTTCAATATTCACTCTTTGGATACTTCTATGGATTAATGATTTAACTGACGTATTTCAAAAATGTTAAAATTCTGTTTACCTTTAGTAATCGGGTGAGCACTGAATCTCTATATGGCACAAATTTATTCTTGCTTTTACCAGACTCTGCAAGTGCTGATATTACCAAACCTAATGTAGTTAATGACCTGCAAAAATTTAACATTATTTTGACCTGAATCAGGTTAATAAATATTTCGACCTGAAAAAGTCTTATCAAATTGACCTGAAACAGTCAAATAACCATTTTACCTGACAATATCTCATCACCTTAGTGCAGTAACAGATCAAGTCCTTCATCACATAAGTACAGTAACAGGTTAAATCCTAAATTTAATAGGAGTAAACCAATTATTGCACTAAGGTGCAAATCTGATCATATTGACCTGAAACAGGTTAATAATCATTTTTACCAGACAATATCTTATCATATTGACCTGAAACAGTCAAATGATCATTTTTACATTACAGTATCTGATTATATTGACCTGAAACATTTAAATATTCATTTTGACCTGAAATGTTTAATATTCATTTTGACCTGAAATACATTTTAAATACTTGTCTGATGTCATTAAATGTGTGAAGATTTTGACTGAGAAGGGTACATATTAATTTTGACCTAGAAGAAATCATCATTTACACATTAGAGATGTATGTTTAATTAGACCTGAAAATAACCATTAGAAATAAATATATATAGAAATGTTTTAAACAAAATCTAATTTTAAAATCACTTTATTGTTAGAATTTTGTTAGGATTACATGTGATATATTGTGTTTATGTATCCTTCTGTACTTTACCCAATTTTAACATAATTTTGGTCATATCTTGGTAGCCATTCCACCTAATTTGCTTTTCTGGATAACTAACCAGTAAAAACCAAATTCTCCACAAGTTACTGACTACTTAAATCCCGCCTAATTTCTGAATCAGAATGACCATTATACACAATATTAAAGATCAACTTTTAAGGGGAAATTTTGCCTCGCCCTAGGATCGACAGTCATGAACTTGCAAAGACTCACTTATTTATATTACTGCCCTCTCTTAATCGATCTCCCATAGCCCCGGTTTTCTGAGCTCGTTCACTTCCGGCTAAATCTACCAAACTCAATTTGCTTACTTTTTCACCAGACACCTGAAAAACAAAATTTTCAATATATTATAATATTCAGTTTTGGATTTACCTGCTTTTCTAACCAGACGTATGTCACACGGAAGACGGACAAAACCCCACCAGTTAAAACCCCACCACTCAAAATTTTATAGAGTGGACAAAACCCCACCACTAAATTTTATAGAGTGGACAAAACCCCACCACTAAATTTCACAGAGTGGACAAAACCCCACCACTTATTGGGCAAGATTTTATGAATTATAATATATATAATATACACATTTTTTTCACATTTTATTTTTTAATTTCAATATAACATTTGTGTAATATAAGAATGAACAATTTTATTAACAATGCATGTATATCTTGCATGTGCAATATGCAAAAAAGGTTTTTCAAACTGTACACAAAAAACTTAATCCTAATCCCTGAAGAACAAAACAGGTTATTTATTGATGTTTTGATTGCAAAAAAGGTGTAACAAACTGTAACTCCTTATTGATGAGTTTTTCACACGTTATTTTGAGTTTCTGCTGATGCACAATTGTTTGTTTTTTAATATGTTTACAAGAAAGTTTTGTCCACTCTATAAAACTGAAGTGGTGGGGTTTTGTCCACTCTGTAAAATTTAGTGGTGGGGTTTTGTCCACTCTATGAAATGTAGTGGTGGGGTTTTGTCCACTCTATAAAATTTTGAGTGGTGGGGTTTTAACTGGTGGGGTTTTGTCCTACATTCCTGTCACACATGTACACAACAGTATCTGCAGCTAGATGATGGCGGTAATTTATAGGCTGACTTTCTAACAACAGAATTGAGTAAGCATTGACTAAGAAGCTTTAAGAACTGGTTAGCCATAAAAATAGCTTGCCATAAAACAATTTGATCACAACTAAATAATATTGGCAGATTGAAGCTTTATCAATTGAACCACTCTAAAGATAGCTTCCTCAAACTAGTGAACAATATCTATGTCATATGAAAGGAAAGAAGTAAATTATAAAACAATTTGATCATAACTCAATTGTATTGGCAGATTGAAGTTTTATCAATTGAACAACCCTCAAGATTGCTTCCTCACACTTATAAGTAAACAATATTGATGTCATATGAAAGGAAAGAAGTACATGGTTCTAGCAGAGCAGAAAACGATGATCCCTGGGTTGACAGGAAGACACCTAAATGGTCTAAGAAGTTAAAACTGATAACCACAGCTTTGAAAGGCAGACATCTTAATGGTCACAGCAGTGCTCTGAAACTGATCAGTCAATTAAATGTGGAGGAAAAACATTATGGTCCTAGTCTTTAATGCTATACCTGCTGGTCAGTATTTAGCTGAGCAGTTTTCAATCTGATCTGTTCCTCATATAACTTGTTTGTTTGTATTGTTGGGTTTTAAGTCAGTTGCCAATAAAGTAAAGGTCCCATCATAATTATAATCTACCATATTAAGATAAGACAGGGCCTTTTCTAGGTATTTTGGGACAAAGCCCCTGGTATAAATTGGAAAACAGTATTCATCATTTTGGAAAATTTGAGAAAACTTAAAGCATTAAAACACAACCTTATACATGACTTTTTAGCTTTTTTCAACATGTGTATGACCATATATTATGCAACTTCTTTTGAAAAAAAAACAACAAGTCAAAACAGTTCATTTTTTTCTCAGAAGCTGAGTTTTGAGTTGCTTTTGGGATTGTTGTTTTTTGGGGTTTTTTTTTGAAATTGGTGAAAAAATAGGCTATTTGGATTGGGAATGGTGTTAGGATGAAAATGCCATGGAAAATCATTTTTCACCTCAAAGGCTATTACTCTATTTATCAGTATAAAGTGAAGGGGAGATAATGTAAACCTGTCAATAAATCACCAGTATGTGTGATGTCAGTAACATCATCAGTAATTTGTCATATTTAAACACCTGAGTTATTGTTAATTATCACCCAACATAAAATGCCACAGGGATATCTTTTGAAGGTGTCAATAACCTATCAATAAATATCAACTTCAAAAAAACTGTTTTGCTTGTGTTTTTTTTTGACAGTAAAAAATTTCGAGAAGCAAACTTACATCACAAATTTAAAGACTAAATTTTGTTCCTTTATTCTTTAGCTGTAACATGAATATATTCAGTTTAAAATTAAAATAGTTAATTTGTTTAAATAAAACAAATTGTCAAAAAAGCTTACTCAAATTGTATTTTGTTTAAAAAAGATGACAAAAAGCTATTTCATGAAAAATTTCTTCTGTCTTTGGTTTATATAAACAAACAACCACAGGCTTTCATGCATATCCAACATTAAAGGGACACCACTGAGGTTTTCCTGCCATGACTGGAAATGTATTCTTAAAAATTCTGTACCATATGAAGACTTTTGAGTCGAAACATTCTATATTTTTCAAATAAAATAATTTTTTTTAAATTGAAAAGGGAGTTGATTTCTATATTCAAACTTACATTATGTACCATATGATGTAAGTCTTGTGTATGAAATTGCAGATCATTCACTTGAAATTCTTTTCCCCAAGAATTCTGTATAATTTAATAAAGGTCCTGACTTAAATAACTTGTTTGTACAATTTCATATCTTTTGCTCACTCTGCTTTTTCCAAAAAATTTATCATATTTGAGGAGCATACAAATGCTGTTCATTTAATTCAGGCTTAGAACCTCACAAAAAATGTTTTTTCAAAATAATTCTAAGTATACCATTTAATTATATTTTTGTATATTTTTCCAAGTATACAAGTAGACCAGGTGATCTATTATGTAAGAATTGAAATTTTTTCATGTTTTTATGCAATTTGGAAGTCTTCTTTTAAAGAGTTTAGAATTTTAAAATTTAAAAAGAAATCATAAACTTAAATGTAGAGGATATTGAATGAGTGTAGGTTCAATACTGAATTTATTGAAGAAGTTAAATAAAATAATTAAATATTATTTTATTCAATGAGTTCAATAAATTCCGTAATGAACCCTCACAAATATAATAGTCTATTTATCATGTACCCAAATTAAAGACTGTTTAAAGTGAAAAAGTATAAATTTTTCATTGACACACCTATAGTGCAATACCATATTTACGTAGTCGCAAAAGCAGCATAGGTTTGTGAAAAATCTTAACATTCAACCTATAATCAAACAAATTTTAAATATTCTTCTCATTATATACATGTTTACAATAGAAACAAACAAAATAAAACAAGACTCATTACAGTATGACTTTTTTCTCAATTAAATTTTAATAAAATATCAAGAAAAGGGAGCTTTGTAAAACCTAAATATACATTATATAATATAAAGTCTTTAAACTTAACGGCAAGTTGACTTTTGAACAAAACCCTTAAATGTACGAGTTTTTTCTAAATTTAATTGCAATAAAAAACAATAGAGAAGGGAGCTTAGTAAAACTAAATATATATTATATAATATAAAGTCTTTAAAAAAAATGTGATCACCTTATGGCAAGTTGACTTTTAAACAAAAAAATAGCCTAAAGGGTTATTTATTGAAGACAATTGTAAATTCTTGTTGGTGTCAATTACGCATTATCATTTAATGCTATCCATCAATAGTGAATGTTATACTTCATTACACGAGGCCCTGATATACATTTTCTATTTATTTTTTTTTCTTCATTGTCTCTATATTATTTCTTTTCATTTTCTCTGATTTCATATATTCATTTTTTATCTGTACTTTTTCTACAAACATATTATTGATTTAAAGGTCCATTATGCCTTGGAAATGCTTTTATTCCTTATTTCTCAAAAGTTTTTTTTTTTTACTTTTGATGTTCCACTATCTTTGGCCATTGAATCATAGTTTTCTTTCTTTTTCTTTTTCTTTTTTTAGTACAAGTTATAGTATTTTGTATGGAAATTTGATTAAATTTTGCTACTTTTATGACAAATTATTTCACAATCAGCACTACCTTCTTCAGGTGATAAGAATCTAACAATGTGCTTCAAAACCATCATTTAAATTAATTTCATCAAACTGATGAGTGCCTATTCTGAGGAAGGAAAAATCATTTGTTTCTGGGGCATAATGTACCTTTAATAATTGAAAGAAAAAAAAATAGAAATACACTATTTTATTTAAATAATCAAAAGAAATTCTACTATTAACAAATTCACCACAATTGACTCTCAAAACAATGATCTAGGTTGAGACATGATGAGATAGGTCAAACTTAATAAATTTTGCACAGACTGTCATAAACTGTATCCTCCATGAAGGGCCTCATTTCAAAACCTGCCAAAATTTCTTAAACCAGATCAATTAAAAAAAAAGACAAGTGTTCACAAATCACCTATTGTCAAGCATAAAGCCCATGTGATATAAATGGTCAATTCATTAAACATGTATATTTCTTTGTTTACTCATAGTCACTTAGATCAGACATCATATAGGAAGGGATAGTTTTACAACAGAAATGTAATATAGAAAAATTAAATCAATTCTTTACCAGCTTTTATCAAATATTAAAAACATGGATTTTAATTCATAAGGATAAAACTTAAATCTTTTTTTTCAAACTACAGTGAAAACTTACTATAACAATATGGAAGGACAAAATACAGTTTTATTTGTTTTCGTTATAAGTGTTCTTTTTTCCACCTGTGGCGCAGCCTCTTTCTATGTGATGGAAGATGGAGAAACATTTCGTGTTAAACGGGAGACTGCAACTACAGTGAATACCAATCTTGTTGACGGTAGAGACATTGCCGGTGTGAGGGACGGTTCGGATATTCTAGCTAAAGACACTAATCCAGCTTTAAGTGCAATTGATGGCTCTGATATTGTTAATAAAGATTTGAAGGCTGACCTTAAAGGTGTGGACGGTCAAGATATAGCCGGAATTAGAGACGGTACCGATATCATTCTCTCTGACACAAATCAAGGACTTAACACTGAGAGAAAATTAAACGACACACAACAAGAAGTTACAGAGGTAATTCCAAAAGTCATAAATCTATTACCAACAAATGAAGGTTCAGAAAAAACTGCTGTTGTAGAGAATGTTGAAACCATTCCTGAAGTCATTAACCAAGCACCAATCAACGAGGCCAAAGAAAAACCTGCCACTGTGGAAAAAGTTGAAGCAATGCATGATCCCTCAAACCACGCACTAATCACAGACGGAACGGAAAAAACTACTACTGTTATTGACAACCAAGATCCAAATTTCTTATCAACAAAAACACCTGATGCACAAAATTCAGATATAAAGACAAATCCTTATCTTTTATCATACTTCTCTAGCCAAGGAAATCACCAAAATAATGAAAACAGTTACCACAGCAACCAAGGTGAACATTACGCGACTACTTCACCTGACCCTGAAGGTCACGAAACAACACCAGAACCAGAGCAACATGAAACAACACCAGAACCAGAACAACATGAAACAACCACACCGGATTCCGAGCAACACGAGACAACCACACCGGATCCTGACCAGCCCGTCCAGCCATCATGGAGGAGAGGTTGGTACAATCCTCTATTTATGACACACCCAGGAGAGCTCCCTCCGATGGCCTTACCAATGACTGCCCCTAGAAGCGGAGACAAACCAGTGGCTCTTGCACTCACCTCCCATGGAGATAAACCAGAGGCTCTTGCACTAACCTCCCACTCCTCAGAGAATCATAGAGGACAAGCATCATCTGAACAGAAACCAGAACAAACTGGTGGTACAGAGGGAACATATAACGCAGAAAATACTATCCACACGTACCATGGATCCTCAGAGTCATCAGTAGTTCATGATATGCCAGTAGCTCTAGCACTGACAAGCCATTCTGAAGGACAAGAACACAGTGCTCCTGTTGCAATGGGTAAGACGATCTTTTATATTTGCAAGAAATCATAAATATTAAATATTTCATCAATAAAATAAGATATCAAATGTTTATGGCAGCCACAAGGCTCAGCAAAATTTCAATTCGATCAAAATTCAAAATATGTAACTGAATAGACTTTAAAATCTGTTTCGACTTTTATTAGTTGTAATATAAATCTTTAGCTATTAAATAAATATTAAATAAACAAACAAACAAACAAACAAATAAATAAAATAAATAAATAAATATAATAAGAAATATTACAGTCACAGCATGTTAAATGAAATTATGATGTTAAAATGATGACAAGAACAATGATGGTAACAATGATTATAATGATGATATTATTAATCACTTTTTCTCACCTACCATTTAAACAGCACAAAAAGGCTTTGCTCCAAGTAGTACAGAAAGAAGAAAGAAAGCAGGCACATTTACTGGTGTGGGTAAAAAACCTGCTGCTGCTGGCCAAAAAGCATTTAGTGGAGCAGGAAAAGCGCGCCCCCCTCCTAAATGGGGCCCCAAACCCCTACCAGCAACAGATTCTCCATACACGACCACTCCTCCTTGGGCGACCACTGTAGGTCAGGGAGGAGCCGCCCCGGAATCTGCAGGCGGTGGGAATAGCTTGATGAATAACATGATGGCCATGAATATGATGGGTGGTGGTGGCCCAGGGGGTGATATGTTCTCAGAGATGATGGAAATGCAGAGAAGAATGATGCGGAATAGTCCACAGTGAGTAACAATTTAACACTTCTCGTATCAAACTAGATTACTTTTAAATTTCTATAATTTTGTATATAAAGACTATTATAAACAAGGAACATTGCAATGCGATGCAACCAGGTTTTTCAGCAAAATATTTCACAGAAGCTTCGTCATGCAGGGGCATTTGTTTTAAAGTGAACACCCGCCCGCCCACCCAAAATCACAAAACCCCGATGATATGCACAAGGACTCTTGATGAGAAAGCTTCTGTGAAAGTTTGTCAAAATAGTTTGTAGGAAGAGGTGTGCAAATAAGAATTTGTTCACTTTATATTCTATATATGGAACAAAAACAATATATTTCTATATAAGGGAAAAAAATAAATGGCAATAATTAGGTCAAACATTATCAAAAATCTCATAACCCTGACAACATGCAGCAAGAGTTGATGACAAAGCTTCTGCGAGAGTTTTGTCAAAATCCCTAGAGAATTGTAGGAGTTGCGCACAGAATTGCGCAGAGAAGAAGTGTTCACTATATATATTCTGTATAAGGAAAAAAAACAAAGGGCCATAATTAGGTAAAAAATTATCTAATCACAAAACCCCGACAATATGTGCTATGGCACTTGATGACAAAGCTTCTGTGAAAGTTTGGTCAAAATCCGTTGAGAAATGTAGGAGAAGTTGCGCACTGTAGAAATTGTTCACTATTATATTCTGTATAAGGAAAAAATACACAAAGGGCCATAATTCGGTAAAATATTATCCAATCACAAAACCCCGACAATATGTGCCAGGCACTTGATAACAAAGCTTCTAAGAAAGTTTGGTCAAAAGCCGTTGAGAAATGTAGGAGGAGTTGCGCACAGAAGAAATTGTTCACTATAATATTCTCTATAATGAAAAAAACAAAGGGCCATAATTAGGTCCAATATATACCAATTGCAAAACCCTGACAATATGTGTCAGGGCACTTGATGACAAAGCTTCTGAGAAAGTTTGGTCAAAATCCGTTGAGAAATGTAGGAGGAGTTGCGCACAGAAGAAATTGTTCACTATATATTCTATATAAGGAAAAAAAAACAAAGGGCCATAATTAGGTCAAATATTATCTAATCGCAAAACCCCAACAATATGTGCCAGGGCACTTGATGACAAAGCTTCTGTGAAAGTTTGGTCAAAATCCGTTGAGAAA